AAACTATTATGATAACAGCCATAATGACCACAATAGCCTCCAAAAAAGAATATTTCATTTCTAATGACAGCAGCAGCACATCCAATGACACCAAGTGGAGGGTCACCAGTGGTAGGCTTTTGTACCCACTCACCAGTTGGTAGGTGACAGACCTCCACCACAGAACACATTGATTTCTTCTTCTCATTATTGTGTACTTCAGGGAGACCAGGCTGGACCCCACCCCACATGTACAGGTAGTCTCCTACCTGTACTGTAGAGTGAGAGTCCCTCTCAACTGGTTGATAGACTATAGATAACAAGAGGACACAGTAATATAGTGAATAGTTATAATAAGCAGAGGATACAGAGGAGTAAAGTAAGGGAGAGAATAAGAAAGAAAGAAAGAAAGAAAAGAGAATAAAGTTACTCACCCTCCATCTTCACAACACTAACGTAACACCATGGCAACACAAAAACACGCAGTGAACCACGCCCTAAAAATGATTAAAACTAAAAACGCATTCACTTTCCAGCATTCATTCATGATGACTGATGTTTGCCTAAACTATAAATTATAGCTAGCAGCCATTGTCAAAATGAAAGCAGTGCTATTATCAACAAAAATCAGCAACAATTCCAGTTCTAGGACATAGCATTAACTATTAACTATCAATATTATTATTATAACACGCTCGTGGGATGATAAAACACAGTGACAAACCACTGACCACAGAAAGTGGTGAACACATAATCAAATAGTCATATATAACACACAATAAAACAATCATCTGTCAAATTGTGAGTACATAGCTATGTCATCATCTGACTGAAATTGGACGAGGACCATATCTAGCTACTTTACAATAGTCATTATCTTATTCTCTTCCAATACTGTGGGTGGGGTTATTTGAAAACTGTTTTCCATACTGTAGTTAGAATTAGTTTTGACCCAAGACCATGTACTATATAAAAAATGAAAAAAAGATTGAGTAGGATTCACTTTGTGCTAATTTTTCAATAAAGTAATGGAAACAAGGAAAAGTAGGATTCTGAACGACCAACAAACACGCAAAGAGGTAGTACAATGCTTAAATTATTTGCCTGAAACCACTCCAACTTTCAAAAAACGTAACAAAAATTTGGGGTGATTCCTGAGCCATTTTTTGAAAAATCCATGGGCTATAGTACAGGGTATTTTAGCATATTCTTAAACGGTGGTTGTGACTTGAAAAATTGAAATTGGAATCAGCTAAAATAAAAATTTATTAGTCAAAAAGTTCTGTTATTGCC